CCAATCTCTCTTATTTCCCCACCTCGCAGTCCCTGGCAAGTACTCTCTGTATCTGTAAGTTTGACTATTTTAGATTCCACATATGAGATCATTCAGTATTTGTCCTCTAGGGCTAGGCCCATCCATGTTGTTGTTATTGGTGGTGGTGGTGGTGGTGGTGGTGGTGGTGGTGTGTGTGTGTGTGTGTGTGTGATATCTCACATCTTCTTGTGCATTCATTCATTGGTAGACACTTAGGTTGTTTCCCTGTCCTGGTGAATGTGAACAATGCTGCAATAAACACGGGGGAGCAGATATCTCTTCAATGTACTGAGTTCTTTCCTTTGGGTAAGTACCCAGAAGTGGGATTGCTGAATCATACAGTAATTCTATTTTTAATTTTTTGAGGAAACTTCATGCAGTTTTCCATAATGGCTTTTCCACCAGCAGTGCTCAGGGGCCTTTTTCTCTACATTCTCACTAAAACTTGTTATCTCTGGTCTTCCTGATTATAGCCATTCTAACAGGTGTGAGAAGGTATCTCGTTGTGGTTTTGATTTGCATTTCCCTGATGATTCGTGATAGTGAGCACTTTTTCATGTAGCTATAATAACTTCTGTGGAAAAATGTCCATTCAGTTCCACTGCCAATTTCAAAATCAGGCTGTTGGGTGTTTTTTTTTTTCTTTGCTGTTTAGTTGTATAAGTTTTTTATATATTTTGATATTAACTGATTTTCAGATATATGGTTAACAAATATTTTCTCCCATTTTGTATGTTGTCTTTTCATTTTGCTGCACAGAAACTTTTAGTTTTTGCTTTTGGTGTCATAGCCAAAATAATCACTGCCAAAGCCTGTATGAAGGAGTTTCCCTTATGTTTTCTTTGAGGAGTTTTACGGTTTCAGGTCTTTAATACACTCCTAGTGCTAATTTTATGTATGGTGTGAGATAGGGGGCACACTTCATGCTTTTGCATGCTGATATTGTTTTCCTAGTAGCATTTATGGAAAAGACTATTATTTCTGTCCTGGCTGGTGTGGCTCAGTTGTTTGAGTGTTGTCCTGTGCACCTAAGGTCACCAATTCAATTTCCAGGAAGGACACATGCCTAGGTTGCAGGCTTAATTCCCAGTAGGGGACATGCAGGAGGCAGCCAGTCAATGGTTTCTCTCTCACATTGATGTTTCCTCTTTGTGTATTCTTAGTGCCCTTGTCAAAGATTAGTTGACTGAATACATCTGGGTTTATTTCTGGACTTTCTATACATAATTCTATTGGTCTATGTCTATTTTTATGCCAGCATCATACTGTTTTAATCACTATAGCTTTGTGATGTAGTTTGAAATCAGAAAGTGTGATAGCTTTGTTCTTCTTTCTCAGGATTGCTTTAGCTTTTCAGGATCCTCTGTGGTTTCATACAAATTTTAGGATTGTCTTTTATATTTCTGTGGAAAACACCATTGTAATTCTGCTAGGAATTGCAATGAATCTGTAGATGGCTTTGGGTAGTATGAACATTTTAACAATATTAATTCTTCTGATATATAAACATGATATCTTTCTGTTGATTTGTGTCTTTTTCATTTCTTTCATTCATGTCTTACAGTTTTCAGTGTATTGACTTTTCACCTCATTGATTAAATTTACTCTAAGTATTTTACTTTTTTGGTGTTATTGTAAATGGGATTATTTTCTTCATTTCTTTTTCAGATAGTTTGTTGTTGGTACATAGAAATGCAAGTGATTTTTGTATATTTCTTCCATATCCTGCCACTTTACTGACTTTGTTTATTAGTTATAACAGTTTATTGATAGATTCTTTAGGGTTTTCTATGTATAAGATTATGTTATCTGCAAACAAAGACAATTTAACTTCTTCCTTTCAGGTTTGGATGCATTTCATTTCTATTCTTGTCTAATTGCTCTGGCTAAGATTTCTAGTACTATTCTATTTATTATTAATATTATTATTATTATTTTATTAATCCTCACCCAAGAATATTTTTTCCATTGTTTTTTTAAAAATATTTTTATTGATTTATTACAGAGAGGAAGGGAGAGGGATAGAAAGTTAGAAACATCGATGAGAGACATCAATCAGCTGCCTCTTGCACACCCCCCATTGGGGATGTGCCCACAACCAAGGTACATGCCCTTGACCGGAATGGAACCTGGGACCCCTCAGTCCGCAGGCTGACGCTCCATCCACTGAACCAAACCAGCCAGGGCTCCATTGGTTTTTAAAGCGAATGGAAGGGAAGGGGAGAGACAGAGAGAAAGAAACATCGATGTGAGAGAGACACATCAATTGGTTGCCACCTGAAACTGAGGTATGTGCCCTTGACCGGAATCGAACCCGGGACCCTTTAGTCTGCAGCCAACACTCTATCCACTGAGCCAAAATGGCTAGGGCTTCAGTACTATTTTAAATAGGAACAGGCATTTTTGTCTTGTTTTAAATATATTCTTATTAATTTCAGAGAGGAAGGGAGGGAAAAATAGAAACATCAGTGATGAGAGAGAATCATTGATTGGCTGCCTCCTGCACGTCCCCTACCGGGGATCGAGCTCACAACCCTGGCATGTGCCCTGACCAGGAATCAAACCATGAGCTCCTGAGACATTAGCAGCTGCTGCGAAGGTGAAGCCAGGGCAGACTGTGCTTCTGGAGCCGCTGGTCCGTCCCTTCTCAGGGATCACCGAGAGCTCAGCAGCAAGGCTGAACTGTAAAGAATGGAAGCTCATACATCTGTCGACATGTTTTCAAAAGTCCTGGTTTTTATAGCCCATAGTAACAGGGGCTTCTCTTCCCAGCTCTGGAACCCTGGGCTGAGGGTCTGGTGTGGGGTGGGGACCCCTTGTTCTTCACAGGCAACCTCCGCAGAGATGATCTCCCTTCTGATTAAAAAAGTGGCACACGTGCCCGGCAGGCGTGGCTCAATGGTTGAGCATCAACCTATGAACCAGGAGGTCATGGTTCGATTCCCGGTCAGGGCACATGCCTGGGTCGCAGGCTCGATCTCCAGTGTGGGGCGTGCAGGAGGCAGCCAATCGATTATTCTCTCTCATTATTGATGTTCCTATCTCTCTCCCTCTCTTTTCCTCTCTGAAATCAATAACTTTATATATATATAAAAGTGGCACACATGGGTGCCAGACCAGCCCGTTCTGTGCCTCCATCCCTCCTACCAGTCTCAATATGCTTTCTTTACTTTTCTAGTTGTAGAACTTCTATTCAGCCAGCTTTCAGGTGGTTCTGAATGATGGTTGTTCTGTATTTTAGTTGTAATTTTGATGTGGTTGTGGGAGGTAGTGAGTACAGGCGTTTACTTACACCACCATCTTGGTTCCTCCCTGATTGGTTTAATTTCTGATCATGACTTTGTCATCAGTGGCTTGAAGCCAAACAGTGTGCAAGGCTGGGCAGGAAGGAGCAGGCAAACCTATACCTGGAAGGGAGCTACAAGCAAGGACTTTGTGATACTTTGAAATAATATGAAAAATATTACCCTACATTTACCTGCTTTCCTGTCAGATGCAAAATGTTAAGAATTCTTACATAGTTAAGTGTATAGATTTGGCTGTGATTGAGGCAGAAGGATAGAAGGCAGAGCTCTCAAGAGGACACCCCCTGCCCCTCGCCTCGGGATTTTTTGTGGTTAGTTTTTAGAATCTCCCAGATGAGCAGACTCAGGTGTTTGGGATTGCAAATCCTGCTTTGGTCTCTTTCCAGCCATGAGGCCTTGTTGAGAAAAATTTTCCAATCTCTTTGGACTTTTCATCTCTACGTAGGACATATCTAATTTCCATAACAATACCTTTTCCAGAGGACCTTCTGTGGTTCTTCTTCGGAATTTCTTTAAGGCACATTTCCTGGAAAGGAATCCAGTGACCAGCCTTAGCAGAACCCCTGAGTGTTAATTCTGGAAGAATTATATCAAAGAAAATGCAAATTCATCTCAACAAGGTTGCCCAACATTGCACAACTGCTTGCCACCCCGAATCAGGGTTTTATTGTTGGAAAAAAGGAAATGATCATGGTAAATCATTTTCTTTTCCAAATGAAAATAGTTCCACAGTCTTGTATTTGAATGACCAAAGGAATTCTTGCTCAGTGTAAACAACTCAGAAAATAGGGGAGAGTATAAAGAAGAAAAACGAAAAGTAATGGTAATTCCAGCACACATGAAAAGTAATGGTGATACCACAGGAATAACATTCCTGGGAATTCTCCATAATGGTGATACCACAGGAATAACATTCCTGGGAATTCTCCATAATTTGGGATTTCCACATTCATGCTATATTTGCATTCATACAGCTTATATTTACATTGGCACAGATGTGATGTATATTCATACAGCTTATATTTACATTGGCACAGATGTGATATATAACATAACATTAATTATATATAAAAATATATCACAATATATTTTTTCCACTCGCGTGCACTCAAGACTGTATTAATGACACTGGGAACCCCTGATTACACCTATTTGGGGTGGGGAGGGAACCCCGCCAGAGCGGGAGCCAGAACACTCGGGAGCGGTGAGCCCGAGCATATGAACTACAAGTCCCAGCAGCCCAAGGCGCGGGCCGGGCGACCAGAGTATGTAGAAACTACTAGTACCGGCAAGCATGGACCAGACGCCGGGACTACAAGTCCTAGAATGCACTGCTCCCGGATCGCGCAGGGCCCTCCGGGATATGTAGTCGTTGGGGGAGAGCTAATTTCTATTCCTTCAATATCAAAGAAAATGCAAATTCCTACAACGGCCCACCAACGCGACTTCTAACCGGCAAGCGAGAAGCCCGGGCGCACCATAGGGAAGTAAAAACTCTTCGGGATCCCAACTGCGGCGCGGGAGCAGGACGCGTGCGCATGCTCGGCGGCTATGGGCGCGGGAGATGGCGCGCCCTGCAGGCCTAGAGCGACAAACCCCGCCCCCGCTCCCAGCGCGCCCGTCCGGGGAGTCTGCGCAGATGATGCAGGGTGGAGGGCCGCGGGGAGCGTCTCCCAGCGCCTGCGCAGATCAGCGGCTTCTCTCGCGAGGACGGGCGCCATTATCGCATCTCCCCGACAAACACCACGAGAATTCCGCAGCCCACACGGTAATTGCAGCTCCCGCAGCCGGTCGCGTCTCCACCTCCCCCTTCCCGCGGGGCGAGACGAGAGCGAGATCTCCCCTCCTCCCTCCTCCCTTCGCCCTCCTCCGGCCGCGGCGCCCGCGCCCTCCGCCCCCACCCGGACGCCCTGCTCGGCCCGCCAACGGCCCGCTGCCTCCGTCCGGTAGCCCCTTCAGCGCCCTCGGGCCCCGCCTCCCCCGTGAGCCCGGCGGGCACCCCTCCTACCCCCGCGTTCCCCTCAGCCTAGTCGGCCCCTCCGGACGCCCCACAGCCTTAGCGTCCCCGGGCACCTCTGCCCCCTGCAGGCCTGCGGGCACCCCCTTAGCCCCGCCGCTCCCTCCCCCCGGGCGCCCCTCCACCCTGTCAGTCCCCCGGTTTCTGAGGCCCCCGACCCCCGCGTCCTCGGGCGCCTAGCGCTCTCCCGCAGCATTCGGACACCGGGGAGCCGGGTAAAGGGCCGAGCGCAGGCTGGTTTTCTTCCCGGAGAAGACGGCTCCTTTCTTTCCATCAGTTTTCTTTCGCACTTGCACTCATCCCGCCCCGCCCCCGCCCCCGCCCCCTGCCCCCTGCCCCGCGGCGTCTGGGTAGGACTGTCCGGGTGACTGGCCCGGACCGGGGGCCACGCCAGCTGCATTGAAACTTGGGGAACAGCCCTGCGAGAGGGGCTCCCCGCAGACGGCCGGCTCGCAGCTGCGGGAGGGGCAGGCTGGCCTCACTTGTGGGGAATGGGAAACTGCAGACGCCCAAGACCCTTCGGTGGCCGCTCCTGTCAGCCCCCTTGCCGTTCGGTGGGCGTCCCGAGTTAACCGGCGGGAATGGAGCCCCGAGAGCCAGGCCGCGAGCAGCGTTCGCTGGATTCGCCCGCGGCTTCCCGGAGGCAGAGGGGGGCGTACGGTGCCTTCTGGGGAGCAGGCAGCGTTAGCTCCGGGGAGGACCCGACCCAGGGCTCCCCACCTGGATGAATGAGGATTTCAGGGTGTGTTTTTTCCCCCCTCCCTATACTTTTTTTTTTCTATTTCTGTGGGTTTAATCCTTTTAAAATGTGACCTTTAGTTTTTTGCTTTGAAGACTTCCCCCCGCCCCCCCCCCCGTGCCTGTGCCTTCCACCTGTGCCTTCCACGTCCACTGTGACATTGCCGTAATAGAGGACTGATTTGTCTGATGAGATGGCAGGGATTGTCTTGATATTGGAGAAATAAATATTCCCCGAAGAACTGTCAACAAGAGTGACTTCCGAGGATGGAGAGCTTGCCTCTCCCGCCTGGAAGTGGAACAGGTGGTTGCTCGCTAGTTGGTGTGACCTGTTCTTCCCAGATGTCCGCCAAGGGCTGTGCGCTGAGACCCACTGCGCTGGTAGAACGAGCACTAAACTACACCAGTTGATGAGAGGGTGGAGTTGTAACTGGAAGTTTGGGAAACAGAAAAATAACGGGATAGTTGAGTGGTCTTCAGTGAGGGAAACGGTACATTAGAAAATAGATGATTGGATAACTTAACGTCCAGCTTTTAGGACAACCCTGGGTACAGATATCCAGTGGTAAAAGGAAACTTGAGAACTGCCTGTAAAGTTCTATCTATTCAGCTCCGTTTCCCCTTTGTCTTGCAGTTAAAATAATATGTTGTTGTCATGTATTCTATCATTGGCTTTAAAACACACACACACACACACACACACACACACACACACACACACACACACCTGCCATTAATGTGCTGTGGCAGGGACTGCTAATCATCTCCAGTGTTTCTCATCACAGCGACCCAGTGAGCTACTGTCCTGTTTTATGGATGAGGTGACAGATCCAGAGGTTAAGTGACTTGCCTACGACACACAGAGCCAAGGTTTGAATGTTCTTAAAAAATTAAACATACGTGTATTTAATATTTTAAAGAAATGTACACAATGAAAAACTTACAATGAAAAGCAACAGTCCCCTGTCCCACCTTTCAGTCCCCCTCCTTATATCTTTTTGTTGTTTCTTCAAGAAGTTCTTAATAGCTCTAAATGATAAGCTGATACTAATTTTACACATCTTTGACGTTACGATAGTATGATTTAGCTCTTAATATATTTTTTCTATCTGCTGAATTCACTATGTTTCAGTTAACTCAAATTTTAACTATGTAAATACTGTTTGTTTCATGGCTAAGTAATGCATTTTCCTTCTAATACAGCTGTTTGTTTTTTCTGTTGTTTGTAATGGCCTTTCTCTTTGCGTTTCCTGCTTCCATTGACTCCTTACATTGTTTTAACCCTTTGAGTGCCAACCAATATCCTAGGAACTATGCTAAAATTGCCAAGGCATTTTTGCTGATTTTACAGCAGTTTAGGAAAAAAATTATGAATCGCAGGTAAATGAAGTTACATATTTAAAAACCTAAGGAAACCTTTACTACATTTGTTTTCTGCACTTAAGTGCCATCTGTCAATAAAGAGTGAACTACTAGCATCTAACGGTGACACTGCAGGAGGAGCGCAATAGCGCTCCGGGCGTGGTTGTACTCTAGGGGTTAAATTCTCAATATAGTGTCAAATCTCTTCAACCTTCCCGGTCCCCTCCAACCCTCTGTCCTTTTTCTAACCTGGATTAACTACTCCATGCCAGCACAGGTATCATCCTGATATTTTCCTTTGTTATACATCTGGACTTGTTCAGGACTCCATATTTTAATCTTGGCTTTTTTCATTTCAATGAGAACCTTTGTAGCCTTATTCCTTTTGGCTAACTTTTTAGGATCCTCTTTCGTTTTAGGACATTTCCAGCATGCCAAAGGATGTGCTCTTTGATCCTGGGGTCTTGTCCTTCAGCCCTGGGAAAGTCTCTTCTTTCATTTATTTGAGAATTTCTTCTGCTCTTTTCTCTTTTACAAGTTCCTGTTAGTTTGATAATGGACATCTTGACCTCCCGAATCTATCTTTATCTTCTTCCTGTGTCATTTTATTCTTATATCTGAGAGAAGGCTTCAATTTATCTTCTAATCCTATTTTAAATTAGAGGTCCGGTGCACGGATTTGTGCACCGGTGGGTCCCTTGGCTTGGACTGCGCCCTCTCACAATCCAGGACCCCTTGGGGGATATTGGACTTCTGGTTTTGGCCTGATCCCCACAGGCCAGGCCGAGGGATCCTAGCGGTGCATGAATCCGTGCACTGGGCCTCACGTATGCATATAAGACAGGGGTGGGCAAACTTTTTGACTCGAGGGCCACAATGGGTTCTTAAACTGGACCGGAGGGCCGGAACAAAAGCATGGATGGAGTGTTTGTGTGAACTAATATAAATTAAAAGTAAACATCATTACATAAAAGGGTACAGTCTTTTTTTTTTTAGTTTTATTCATTTCAAACGGGCCGGATCTGGCCCGAGGGCCGTAGTTTGCCCACGGCTGATATAAGATCTTTGGTTAATCTCTTCCTGCCCTCCCCCTCCCCCCTTCCCTCTGAGATTCATCAGTCTGTTCCATGTTTGCATGCCTGTGCATTGAGCGTCTGCCCCCTGGTGGTCAGTGCATGTCATAGCTACCAGTTGAACAGTCGCTTAGGCTTTTATGTATATAGATTTTTTATTTCCATAATTGAAATGTTAATTTCCAAGAGTATATTTGTTTTATTCCTTTTTCATAGTAGCTTATTGTGTTTTAATGCATTATCTTCTTGACACTGAGGATACAAATAAGGATTGTTTCTTTTTTTTGTTTTCTAATTTCTTGTTTCATTTAATGTCGCTGTTGTCTTTTAAAAAATACTGGCTTCTTGCTTCGTATGGCAAGTATTCCTCAATTATTGGTAATTGTTGTCTAAAGCAAGAGGAAACCGGCAGATCTGAGTCTGTGGGGCTGGTTTTGAAAATGTGTGGGTTTCCCTTTGGGTGATTGGGAACTTGTGTTTGGACCTGGAATGCCAGATGGCTTGAGAGATTTTATCTGGGTCTTTCAGCAAAAGGAAGACCTCTTTGGTTGGGGGTGTCCCACTTGGTCTAGAGCAGCGGTCGCCAACCTTTCAGACCTCACAGACCACCAGTTGTTCCACGGACCACTGGTTGGCAACCGCTGCTCCAAAGGTTTCCTTAAATCAGCAGTCGCCAACCTATCAGACCTCACGGACCACCAGTGGACCACCTGTTGGCAACCACTGGTCTAGAGGGCCTGTTGTACAGCTCTTCTGTACCAGGACTGTCTTCTCTGTGCAGGCGCAGACTTCGAGTTCTGCTGAGAGTCCTGGGTTTTGGGTCCCAGCATGCTGCATGTGGGCTTAGAGCCCTCCTTTGGTTGTACCCACTCTTGTATGCTCTACCTTGCTGTTTCCTATGTCATCGTTAGATTCTCTTAGTTTGCCAGAAATTTGCAAAGTCTCTTGTCTGCCTTCTTATTTTCTTTCTTGTGGGTTTATTATATGCTGTTAAATTCATTTTAATGGGATGAGCAGTGATCACATGTGAACAGCCAGTTCCTTACTATGAGCAAGAATTCCAGAACCTGTTCTCCTCATCACTGTGCTCCTCCTCTCTCCTGCCTCCCAGTGGTCTAGGTGACGATGCCCACTGTCAGTGGGACATGGGGCCAGCCATGATCCCCATGGCTGTTTCCATATTGCAAGTGTGGGTGGATGGTGTTTGTTCCCTGTGGAGGTTCTTCTGGCTCTGCAGCCTTCGAGTGGGTGCCAGGCTCAGCTGGGGAAGGTCAATCATAGATGGGTCTTGTAGCAAAGATTGTGATTTCAGGTTCTTTAGTCGGCTTTCACCATCAGTGTTCTAGGAGAGCCTTTCAGCATGCCAAAGTTTAAGGAATGCTTCTAGTTAAGCAGTGATGACTGAACTCAAAGTGTAATTGTGATGCATTTTAGTCTATTGCCCTTTGAAAGTTGCACACAGTGAAATGCATCAGCTGTGTTTGCCAAGGCCTTGCTAGTGAAGTGGTCCACAGGCCAGCAACATCACCACACTAGGCATTTTAGGGAAATGCATGTTCCCAGGCCCTGCCCAGACATATGGAATTAGAATCTGCAGTTTTGTAAACTTAATTTTGAAGTAATTTTACAAAAGAGTTGCAAAAATTGTTTAGAGAGCTTCCCTGCTCCCTTCACCTACTTCCCCTAATGCTGACACCTTACTAATCAAATATTCTTAGGAAAACCAGAAAATTAACATATCGGCACAGTATATTAACTAAATTGTAGTCCTTATTGAACTTCATCAATTTTCCACTAATATCCTTTTTCTGTTTCAGGATCTAATCCAGGATCCCACAATTTATTCAGTTGTTACGTCTTCTTAAATCTCCAATCTGTGGTATTACATAGCCCAAAAGTATCTTTCCCAAGATATTTGTAAATTGCAAAGGAAAAATTAGTAGATCACAGTGAAAAAACCCAGCAGATACCGCCTTAACATCACCACTAATAATACATAATAATATCAGGTATGATCCACTGAGACGAAATGCATACCCTCAGTCTAATCATGAGAAAACTCAGAGGGACATTTGCCAAAATACTGCCGAGTGCTTTTCAGAAATGTCCAGGTTTTTTTTGTTTTTGTTTTTCTTAAACATTTATTTTCTCATAGTTTTGGAGGCTAGAAATCTGATATCAAGATGTCAGCAGGTTTGGTTCCTTCTCCAGCCTTTCTCTCTGGTTTGCAAATAGATGGCCACCTTGTATCCTCCCATGGTCTTTCCTTTGTACATATTTGTCTGATGTCTCTTCGTTTGTCAAAATTTTCTTATAAGGATACCAGTCAGGTTGGATTAGGGTCCACCTTAATGGCTCATTTTAACTTAACCCCATCTTTAAAGGCCCTGTGTCCAAATACAGTTACATTCTGAGGTACTGGGACTAAGGTTTCAACATGAATTTTTTTGGGGGGGACACAATTCAGTCCATAACAGGTGACAATATGGCAGATATACTTTTCCTAAATAATATTTTCTACAATTTCTATGATGTTTCATTATTTTACAAGGAGCCTAATATTCTTCCTCTATAATAAAAGACAAATATGCTAAGTGTCCGGTCCTCTGTCCAGCCAATCAAAGTGTAATATGGTAATGATATGCTAAGGCTGCTCAGCCGCTTGCTATGACGTGCACTGACCACCAGGGGGCAGGCAGTCAACCGGTCGATAGGTCACTATGACGTGCACTGACCACCAGGGGGCAGATGCTCCGACTGGTAGGTTAGCTTGCTGCTGGGGTCCAGGCAATTGGGACTGAGTGAGACGTGCCGGACACGCCCTGGAGTCCTCCTGCAGTCCCTCCCTGGCTGGCCAACCTCCCGCATCCCTCCCCGGCCCCGATCGTGCACCGGTGGGGTCCCTTGGCCTGACCTGCGTCCTCTCGCAATCCGGGACCCCTCCGGGGATGTTGGAGGGTCAGTTTTGGCCTGACCCGCAGGCTAGGCTGAGGGACCCACTGGTGCACAAATTCATGCACCAGGTCTCTAGTCCTATATAAAAAAGGGTAATACGCAAATTGACCGAACAGTGGAACAACCGGAATGCCTGTGGCCCCTCGCCCTGGCCGGCCCAGCCTCCGAGTGGTTGCCCCCACCCCGGTCGGGGGCGGGACCCGCCGGCAAACCACCTGTGGCCCCTCACGCCAGCCAGCCCGCCCCTGATGGCCGCCATTGGGGCGGGTCAGCTGGAATCCACCAGTGCACGAATTTGAGCACCGGGCCTCTAGTGTGTGTGTGTGTGTGTGTGTGTGTGTGTGTGTGTACACACACACACATACACATACACATATACATATATACATATATGGCTAATATGCAAAGTGTCCCCTTGGGAGTTTGACCAGGAGACTGAGAGTTCGATCGCTTGCTATGATGTGTGCTGACAACCAGGGGGTGATGCAGAACATGGCAGGTGACCAATGGCAGCGGGGTGCTGAGGGAGCGAGGGAAGGAGGAGGCAGGGAGGCGGGGAACCTGATAGGTTCTGATTGCTGGCCAGGCCTAGGGACCCTACCTGTGCATGAATTTCATGCACTGGGCCTCTAGTTATTTTATAATTTGGAAAAGCAACAATATTAGAACAAAAATATTTGCGTTTACATTTAAAATACAGTTAGATTCTATGTGTGATAATTATAGATTTTTCATTTACATGAAATGTCTTCTGGGCATTTGAAAGTCAAGGGATGCCGGACAATTATTGTGAAGGATTAACCCAAGCATTACAGGATGTACAGCGCCCCCTCCCCTTACAGTTGCCAGTGGCACCTCTTCTCCATCACTTGGGCAACCAAAAAATATCTCCCATGGTTTAAAAAAACTCCATTGATCATCACCACTTTAAAGTATAATTTTATACTAATATTTGCAAATGTTTTCTCACCCCTTTAAAGTAACAGAGGAAGAAATCATGCTAATTACCTTTGGCTGTGCCAGTGGGAAGGTTGTGTCTCAATACTGGCAGTTTCATGATAGCTAAAGTTGTCTAAACACTTGGGTTGCGGGAAACGAGTTAAGTCAAATTACAGTCTTGATGCTCAGGAGAAAATATAATAATAGCAAATGGGTAGTGAACCCTGAATATATGCCAGGCACTGTGTAAACTCGGGCCGATTGTAACTGCGTATTACCAAATATTTCATTTCAATCGAACCCATACTTCAAAAGATATAGGCATTTTAACGCGCCATCTTATATTTTGGCGGGAAATTCACCCGACACCGTAGTGTAAAGACAATGAAGCCTCTTTTGCTGCAGTTTATCCAAATTACAGTCTTGATGCTCAGGAGAAAATATAATAATAGCAAACGGGTAGTGAACCCTGAATATATGCCAGGCACTGTCCTAGTTCTCTACATATGCAAAAATTCATTTATTTGCAATAACCCTGTGAGGTAAACGCACCTGAATTAAGCACTTTACAAATATTATGGCATGTGATCGGCACAGAAAAAATGAGATTGCTACAGATTTGGAAACTAAGGCTCAAATCTCTCCTGGGAAGCAGACAGCTTATATGTATATACTTTATTACATGTACAAAATAATGTCAAACAATCAAAGTTATTGCCACAATGAAAATGTAGAGTACCAAAGAAATGCTGTGAATATATTTTCTAAATCGATTTAAGTTAGCAGTCAACCACTTACTGAATATTGTGAGGTTCTGAGTTACTTATCTAATGAGCTGTATTGTGGAGAAGTGATATACTGGTTTTCCCCAGAAGTTATTGTAAAACAACTCAGTTGGGCTAATAGTAGCCCCAATTTTGTGAACTGGTATTTCTCTCCTAAAACAGAAGCAATATTGTGACAAATCCAATAAAAGGCTTTATTTTTATTTTGTTTGTTTGTTTGTTTTATTTTATTAAGAGAAGGCAGTTCCAGAGATTTTTGAGAAAACTAATTTTTATGCCCTGAATTTTTGGGGCATCACCTACTTGGTGTAATTGTTAGTATCAGCTGAAGTAAAATCTTACAAAGGCTGTCAGAAAATGCATAAAAGGCAAATAGGTATGGTTTCTAGCATATCCATACTCTTCTGTTGTGGCTTAAAGTTGATTACGAATAATACTTCAGGAAATAAACTTCAGGTTTTGATATAATTGGAAAAAATTATAAACTTTTCTTTTTAAAATAATATGTTTTATTGATTTCAGAGAGAGGGAGAGAGAAGGGAGAGAAAGAAAAAAACATCAATGATGAGAGAATCGTCAATCAGCTGCCTCCTGCATGCACCTTACTGGGCACTGAGCTTGAAACCTGGGCATGTGTCCTGACCAGAAATTCAACTGTGATCTCTGGTTCATAGGTCGACACTCAACCACTGAGCAACACTGGCTGGGCAAAAATTATAAATTTAATAAGCTTTTCCTGTTTTTTGTTTGTTTTTTTCTGTATTCCCCCTCACCACATAGTAGTCTGGGGATCTTTGTCTGATCCACTGTTTTGAGTTAAATGCATTTGCTTTTTTCTAGGTTGATTTTCAGGATAAAGCACACAGTTGTTTATCTTAAAACTTAGACTTTTCACAAACATTTTCCTTTTATTATTGTAAAACAACACATCAATGTAAAAGAAAATCCTGAAAAAACCCCTGTAGTCCTACCACATTAATGTTATATATCTGAGAATATTTTTCCAGTTTTTATCTGCAAAAGATAATTTTTAACATAATTTGTCTACATATGTACATAACATTTTCAGTGACTTTTACTTTAAAACATGACAGTTATTTTCCCTATTCCATACTTCTCATGATAATCTAATCCATTTCTTTGAGTGGTTGTACCATAACCTGCTTACTAGTTTTTTTATTCTTGGTCATTTAGGTTGTTTCTAGTTAATCTATAGATGGAATGTGGCCATTAATAGAAGTGCCAGTCTTGAAAGACAGGGAAAGACTCTCTTTGCATTTAAAAAGTTGTCAGGGTTGCATATTCACTTTGATGTTGAAGAAATGCTTCTGTGTTAGATGGTCGTCAAGGATATGAGACATAATGAACCACAAATCTTGTTTTGTGTGTTGGTTATTTAGGTGTGCTAGGGCCAAGTTCTAGATGATTTTTCATTAATGATTTATTGATAACATCTGTTATAGCTTATTAGCTTTAGTTTTTCCTTATGATCTTCATCTGTACTACATGTATCCTGAAAACATTAGCTATACAATTAAATATGTTACGTGACGGTGCAAGACTGACTTTAAAATGCCCATGTACAATAAACATTTTCTCATTTTGAAGAAAAGATTTCTGGGGGGAAATACACATTAAGGGTCTCAATGAGAATGTCTCCGATAAAAGTTTTAAAAGCCCTCCCAAAACCAGAATTAAATAAAGATTGTTATTGTGTTCTCTGATTTCACATAAAAACAAAATCACATAATGAATTGTTTGTCAGAAGTGCTCTGAACCATTCTGAAATATTCATTTTTGCGGATATGAGGAGTTTTAGGATTTTGAAAGCAAATATTGAGTGGGATTACATGGTTGCAATTTGCTCTTAAAAAGCTATACTTGTCTTCTTGTTCATGGACAGTTTTGGAGCTCATTTAGCACATCACAGAACAAGAATCTTAGCAGTCATCTCTGCCTTCGCAAATAGTTTTAAAAATAACTTCTAGGTTTCCCACTTTTGTGCAGGATGTGAAACCACTTAAAAATGAGAGCCTCAGCTACTCATCTCATTTATGCCCTCTGCCTTGCCTTTGGCTCTGTCCACTGTCCAGGGCTGTGCTCAGCCTGTCTCCATGGACGAGAGGGTGCCTGTCCTCAGTCCTAAAGTCAAGGAGCAGAAGGAATGCCCTTGACCCCTTCCCACTCCCCATTGCAGTGGCGAGGTTGGGCATCCACATCATAGTGCTCCAAAGTAAGTCTCTTAAGTGGAAGTGGAGCTTGGCATCAGCACCCAGGGCCTCCCATTGCTTGAAACCTGTGGATATTTTTGAATTAAAATGATAGAACCATTTACTTCTTAAGCCACAAGCAGATAGTTTGCCCCAAATGCTGTAAAATCATGAAATCGGTTCCTATTTTGAATTGACATCTCTGCATTTTCCACATTTACCCATAGTTAGGAACTGTCTGATATGATTAAAATGTTTTGGATTATCTACCTCCATGATGGGGTGACAGTAAAGTTCACTTTGTCTCTTTAAGAAGCCTCACATTGGGTACGGTGGGATGGTGGTGGTGTGCATGATGAGGTGCCCCAGACAGGTAACACATGGTGGGATTTCTTACAAGGTATGAGCATGGAAGAATAAAATCTGTCTAAAAGGCCAGAGAAAGTGAAGAGATAAGAATAGTTATTTTAGTTAAATCCCTGAAAAAGTTGATAAGTGGAATTGAATGTGGGGAAATTGACTACCATTACCTTGTCCTAAGTTATTTTTATATTAGCATTTTAAATAGTTGAGCACAAGTAAGGCATCAAAAGTGAAAGTTGGGCAGAGGGCCCAGGTTGGGGTGGAGGCCTGGCTATTCTTGTTAAAGAATTTACCAGGTGACCGAAAAATACACAGGGAGTACTCGGAGATTCAGGAAAACCCATTTATTTCTGAGTGAATACGGAGGATGCTTTCTCTTCATACCCTTTGGTTTCTTTGTCCCCCAAATATGGCAGGCTTCCGGATCTTTCGTGGGCTTTGCAAAAAGCCCCCTGTGTTGGGATGGGGGACGTGAGACCACACCCAAAGGCCTGGCCTGGCACAGTGCTGGTAACCCCCTTTGGGGGTTGTGTATGGTTCATGGTTTATGGCCTGTGTAAAATGGGACTGTTCTGGGAAACTGGTTCTGCAAGACAGGACAAGCATCAGTGGAGTTAGTTATCGGCTAGTAAGAGTGTGTGTTAGAAGGCAGGTTACTGGCACAGATTCAGATTGCTAGCCACCACCCCACCCCCATGTCTTATTTTCCCCTTCATTCTTACCAGAGCACTGTCGGGAAACCTGGGCCTGCGTCGAACCAGTCAGCCTGTGGACTTTGCGATTGTACTGACAAACCTTTTAGTAATAGATTTACATTGTGTGCTTCAAAAGCTGCTGCTTGTAGTCTCCAGTGATTTTTCCTTTTTCCTTAAGGTGGAAAATCATCAAATAACTTGAAGCAAAGGTTAACCTTTCTGAATTAGAAGTGGGTTTGGATAAACTGGCAGTGAAAACATGGTATGTGTGCTGCTGGCATTGCCTGATTGGTGTGAACTACATGTCCCCTGAATATGGCCTGGGACACAGGCATCTTAATCTTACTATATGGAGCAGGGAAGAACTCAAGCTGCAGTTCCTGCTGTCACCATGCAGTGCAGCCCTGCAATTCCGTTGGTAGGTGGGTGGCCAGGTTGGGACTTCTGTTGCCAAGCCCGCCTTATGGATACTCTCATCAGTGGGAGTCGGGCATGGGCCTTGGGGGCAAAGTACTGTGTTAGGCTTTTATGCCCAGAACACTTCTCTGAAGATGTCAAGTAGTTCACAACCCACGTGTTTAGACTGACTGACAAAAAAAGGCTGATGTTCTGTTAACCATTTAAAAGTTGCAGCTGTCAGGGGGCAAGCACAGTTTTCAATTAATTGAAATTACACATTTTAATATTTACAGGATTTAACTAATTTCACTTTTTATTTTTGCAAAATGAGGACTTACTATTTATTGTTATTTTAAATTTGTGTAATTTAAATTTGTATAATTTGTATTTGTATAAAATGCAGTCATACTATGTTAGGGAGGAGAAAGGAAGCTCAAGGACATACAATAAGCTGAAAGCAAATACATACTGCTAGGGGTTCCCTCCACACAGAGCTGTTAATAAAAAATTCAGTTCAGCTTGCTTCATGGATTCTCCCAGGATCATTCAAGAGTCAGTAAGGCTGCTTTGCCTTATTGGGATGTCTATGAATCCACTATAATCTGAATCATAAATTGCTCTTTATAGCTAACAGGAGGTGGATCAGCAAGAACCAATTCAGGCCTCTAGGTAACTGAACAATCCTATAATAGCGGAGGCACCTCTAAGGAGGTCAAGATTACTATTCTTCAATAATTGTCTTTAATTTCTTTATCCTTCAGCCTCAAGAGGCAGTTTCAAGATTCTGTAGATGCTGCGGACATCATTAAACACGAGGGCAGAGGCCAACAAACATTTTCTGTTACAGGGTCAGAAAATATTTTTGGTTTTGGGATCTCTGTCACAGCTGCTCAACTCTTTGCCCTTGGAGGGTGGAAGCCTGAATGGGGATGGTTATTTTTCAATGAAACCTACCTACAAAAACTGACACCAGTCTAGATTTGGCCCTTGGGCTGTAGTGTGTGAATTCCCAAGCTCTAGACTAAAAGTTCTGCAAGTTGGAGAAAGAAATCATGGTTGGAAGTTCAATAACAGTATGATGATAGTAAAGCATACTTCAGCTGGTGCCAAGCACTGTGCAAAGTGTCATTTAGGCATTACTCTCTTAGTCTCCTCTAGCATCCATGCTCGTCACTGCTGACTTGGAGAGTTTGGGGGCAATCTGGAGGGATGCACTGAACCATCTGAGAGTGAAGGTCAGAATCTTTTAGTTTATTTTGAGAAAATCTACTTGGAAAGAAATTGTCAGTGGCAGCCTCTTAGAAGTATAATTAGCATTGGCAAAGTCACCTTCAAATGAAAATGCTTCTATCCATCCTCACGACCACCTTTTTTGGAGAAAAAGCCTCAAAATCTCTATAGGATTTTTTTTTTTCAGGCTTAGAAGTTGTAAGAATTGTACAAAGAATTATATAGTTTCCTACATTCTCAGATGTTAATATTCTATATTTGCTTTATTTCTATAACTGTGTGTGTATACATATTTTTTTCCTGAAGTTTGACATACTCTCTTTTAACTACTTACATTTTTAAAAATTATATTTTTATTTATTTCAGAGAGGAAAAGAGAGGGAGAGAGAGATAGAAACATCAATGATGAGAGATTCATCGATTGGCTGCCTCCTGCATGCCCCATATTGGGGACCGAGCCAGTAACCTGGGCATGTGCCCTTGACTGGAATTGTACCTGGGACCCTTCAGTCCACAGGCCAACTGAAGCAAACTGGCTAGGACAAGTGTCTGTTTCTTAAAAAGGAGGACATTCTTATATAACCACAGTCCAATTATTCAAATTAAGAATTTATCATTGATGCAGCTCTATTATCTAAGCAACAGATCTAATTCAGATTTTACTAATTATCTCAATAATGTCCTTTATACTGAAAGAAAAGGGGACTCCTTTATGAACTTAGATGAATATATTTCCCCCCAAGAATATTTGGCCCCCATGATGATACTGTGGTGGATGTGTCTGCCAGGGCCGTGTGTGGTCAGCCAGTGTCTGCCACATGACCTTAGCAGGCCTCCCCATGCTTTTGTCCATTTGCTGCTTTAGATCATGTTAACTAGTTCTCCTTGGTTATCCACTCTGCCTCTGAGGGATTGCACTTGTCTGACATCTGTTGTGTGGGTCAGAAATGTCTGGAATGGTCCCTGCATCTGCATCTGCCACCTGCCATTGTTAACTTTGTTATTTGTTCTAATGACTGCTCAGGTCGGGAGCTAATTTTCTCTTGTTTTTATGTTGCTGGTTAGGATTATAAATTCCTTTAACATTTTGGCATAATCTAGTTGTTTGGTTTGGATTCTGTAAAATTGTGAGGTGGACAAAGGAGATTAGGACATTTAGCCCTGAACTGCTGACCACCTCCCTCTCCAAGCTTTGCAGTATGAGGCAATAAACAGGAGGAACAGATGGATGGTAAAAGGATTTCAGTTTTTAAAGGGAGCTGAGAGATGGATGGATGCACAGGCCCAAACTCCAGGGAAAGGAAACGAGAACACATGGTGATGGCTAACATGTGGGCTTAGTTAAGGACACAAAATGTGTTACTGTGGGAGTGTGCTCTGTTTCCCCCCATCCCACTTCACTGCTCTCTGGTCTCCTGTTTCCCTAATATTCATGGTGTATGTTTCAGATAAGGGGAGCATTTAGGGATGGGCCTATTTCTGTGAAATGGGAACACACCTGCATCAAAGGTTGGGAAGATTAAATGAGATAATGTTTAATATAGTGTTTAGGATTCAATAAATGGTAGCTCCTATAATTATTGTTATCATCAACTTTACCTGTCAGGTTATATATCTTTTTATGCTTGCCAACCTCAAATGGTGCTGATTTAATTGGTAGAGGTTTGCATATAGTCTGAATTTTGTCTGTGATAAACTTACATCATATAATTTTAGATAGTTAGAATTGGACAGGAGCTTAGAGGTATTGTAAATTTGTACAAGTTGCTAATTAAAAGCTTGGCTGTGATTGTAAAGTATACACTTGTTAACAAGTGCAAGAACCTACAATAATTGCACTTCTGTGAGGAACCTGCCAGTACCACATGTAGGCCCACACTCTGAGGGCGTGGAATCACAGCCCCCTGGCCCAGCAGAAGTCCTTAATAGTCTTTAGGGTTAAGACACCCTCCTGTTCTCTCCAGGGAAGTGACTTTTCTGTTGTACTTTATTGTAAATTGTGATTACTATATGGTGTTGTAATTTTGGTGTATTATTTGATATTCAGTGATAATTTTAAATTCTATTAGATGATTTTAGACAATTTGCGATTTTGAGTATGAATTCGTACTGTGTTAGGGCCAATATTTCTTATAAGAACAGCTGAGTGGTTCAGTTGGTTGAGCATTTATCCTGTGCACCAAAAAGTTGCCTGTTTGATCCCTGGTCCAGGACATGTACGGAAGGCAACCAATCAATGTTTCTCTTTCTCTTTCTCAACATGTCCTTGGGTGAGGCTTAAAAAAAAAAAAGAACATATGTCAGTGGAAAAATGACTTTAAAATTTTACCTCTAATTCAGTATTTGATTATAAAGTGAGCTATAGTTGAATTTAAGTATATAAATATCAAAATCAATATAATATCTCTCTGAAACATAACTTTTTTCAGTAGAGGTACAAACATTGACTTATGTCATCTAATTCATTTTCACATCTCTAAATGTTTTTCATTTTAACGGTAAAATATAGAGGTATAAATGCAGTGAAAGTGTAGGAGAGAGCATCAACTGTGGTCTCCAAATACAGGGGTGGGCAAAAGTAGCTTACAGTTGTAATACAAATATATAATACAATAATGAATAAATAATAATACAAGAATAAACTGTTTCATGTACTCACAACTGTAAACCTACATTCCCATCATGCCCACCACTGTATTTAATGTTTTCACTTAAAAATTTTTTTTACAAAAAAATTTATTTCATAGAGGAAGGGAGAGAGAGAGAGAGAGAGAGAGAGAGAGAGAGAGAGAGAGAGAGGAACATCAGTGATGAGAGAATCATTGTTCAGCTGCCTCCTGCATGCCCCACACTGGGGATGGAGCCCGCAACCTGGGCATGTGCCCTGAACCTGGTTCAGAGGTCGACGCTCAACCACTGAGCCACACCAGTTAGGCTTCTCTTGACTTTTTTAAATTAGAAGATAATTAAACCAAGATTCCTATTGTCCTTGCAGCAGAAGGTTTGAAAGAGCTGTCAGGGCATCAAGGCATGAGTTTCAGGATTATCTGTGTTTGCAGGATCATTTGAACCTGAAGATCATTACTTTCTTCACTAACGCATTTGTGGATGACTCCTGTGTGCCCAGCGTGGTGCTTGTGTTAGTGATGATTCACGGCATAGAGCAATTGTTTTTACATTAAAGTGAGACTTTCAGCCACTAGAGGAGCCATTACAGCCCCAAAGCAGCTGTAGACAGTATGCAGACAGCTGGGCATGGCTGTATTCCAATAAAACTTTACTTGTGGACACTGAAATTTGAGTTTCATATAATTTGACATTTCAAAATATTGCTTTTCTTTTGATTTGGCTCATGGGTTGTACAAAAACAGGTAGAGGGCCAGATTTGGCCCATACGGTCATTGTTTGCCAATCATTGGCTTAGAATGCATTTGTTGGGTGAGTGAATAAAATGAGATTATATACAGGCAGGCAGGAGGTAGCCAGACTAGGAAAGGCTTGAAACCTGGATGGAGGAGTTTAGATGTGATGCCGTCAGCAGAGGAGGGCCATGGAGGTGCTGAGCTGGGCTCTGAGAGGATGAGCCCTCCAGAAAAATCACTCTGGAACTTACAGGATGGATGAGAGAGGATTGGCTTCTTGCCTCAGCCATGTGTAACTTTGGGAGGGACAAAGGGACACTCATTCTGTCAAATCAGTGGACTCAGCTTTAGAGTGTGTCCCAGAAAGATGATGCCTACACATCAGACTGGAGGCAGGGACTGGGCAGGAGGCCAGTTCATGGATAATGAGGCACTTAGCAGACCAGGTGCAGTGGGAGAGAGGTTGGAATCAATAAGCGTGAAGAAACTATAGGATAGGGTCTGGTGATGGTTGGATACTTATGGGTAACAGAGCAGAGAGAGTTAAAAAAAAAGTGCAGGGTTCTTTCTCAGAGGGGTTGTTATCTCCTTGATCAATATTCTTGGGGAAAAGAAGCTAACAGGGACATGAGAAGAGTTCATCTTTGAAAATATTGGAATAGATTTCATTGTCTGTTGTCTAATGGGCATAGGGTGGTTTGAAATACTGGACTCGGGAAAGTTGTTGGTGAGAGTTTAAGGTGGCAAAATTTTGGGAGAGATGGTTGTCAGTTCGGTAATCAAAGTGAGTGCCTGCCAGCACCCTCTGGGAGACAGTGCCTTCCATTGTGCTGCTCTGTTTCCTGAAAGCCCGGAAGGGGCCGCACAGGCACCTGCAGCCTGTTGGTTAGTCACTGCACTGCAATTGGAGTGGCCCATGTGACATGGAGCCAGGGGGTGGACATGCTCTGCAAGGGACAGCTTTCAGAGGAGGACAGAGGTCTCAGGTGGACCCTGGAGCAAGGCCCCAGGAAAGGGAGGAAGACATGGATGGGTGGCCTGAGTGAAGAAGAAAAAGAAATGCTGATGCTAAAAGGCAGTCAGAAATTGTTTACAGGGCTCTTGTCTGGTCTCTTGGAGAAAAGGTCCAGTCCAACAGCGAGTTTGGAAAACAGATTTTTTTGGGGGGATTCAGAATGGAGTGGGAAGAGGCAATGTTTGTGGATGGGCTTGGGCTCTAGAACATGTTCTAGGAGTTTGGCACAGGAGAGATGTGA